GGGGTCCCTGTCCCTGGCGAGGGATTTTTCCACGAAATGGGTGAATGCGGAGAGGGCAGCGGCGCCCGAGCAGCCTTGGGTGCCGCGCCGCACTGCCCGTGCCGCTTCCCAACCCGCCTCTCCTCCCGGCAGATCCAGGATCTCCTGTCGTCCCAGGAGCAGCAGAAACCTGCGGAGACGGAGGCCGGCGCCGCAGACGCAGGTACGGGACCCGGCGGGACCCCCGGCGCCGGGCGGCGGCGGGATCRCTTGGGCTGCCCCCAGCCCCGTTCCTGTGTGGAGCCACGTGTGCTGTCACGGGACTGCTCTGGGTGGCGTCCCTAGCACCTATGGGTGCTGCTGCCTCCCCCGCACCTCCCACGTGGACACGTGCTGTCACGGGGCTGCTCTCAGCATCCCCAGCACCCGTGGGTGCTGCTGCATCCCCCACACCTCCCGCATGGGCATGTGGCGTCATGGGGCTGCTCATGGCGTCCCCAGCACCTATGGGTGCTGCTGCCTCCCCTGCACCTCCCACGTGGACACATGCTGTCACGGGACTGCTCTGGGTGGCCTCCCTAGCACCTATGGGTGCTGCTGCCTCCCCTGCACCTCCCACGTGGACACGTGCTGTCACGGGGCTGCTCTCGGTGTCCCCAGCACCCATGGGTGCCGCTGCATCCCCCGCACCTCCCACGTGGACACATGCTGTCACGGGGCTGCTCTCGGTGTCCCCAGCACCCGTGGGTGCCGCTGCATCCCCTGCACCTCCCACGTGGACACGTGCTGCCATGGGGCTGCCCTGGGTGGCGTCCCTAGCACCTATGGGTGCTGCTGCCTCCCCTGCACCTCCCACATGGGCACATGCTGTCACGGGGCTGCTCTCAGCATCCCCAGCACCCGYGGGTGCTGCTGCATCCCCCACACCTCCCGCATGGGCATGTGGTGTCATGGGGCTGCTCATGGCGTCCCCAGCACCCATGGGTGCTGCTGCATCCCCCGCACCTCCCACGTGGACACATGCTGTCACGGGGCTGCTCTCGGTGTCCCTAGCACCTATGGGTGCTGCTGCATCCCCTGCACCTCCCACGTGGACACATGCTGTCACAGGGCTGCTCTCAGCATCCCCAGCACCCGCGGGTGCTGCTGCATCCCCCACACCTCCCGCATGGGCATGTGGCGTCATGGGGCTGCTCATGGCGTCCCCAGCACCCGTGGGTGCTGCTGCATCCCCCATGCCTCCCGTGTGGACACATGTGGACACATGCACTCAGTGGCATCCCCGGCACCCATGGGTGCTGCTGCACCCCTCACCGTGGGCACCTCGGTGCTCCCGCTTCCCAAGAGAGCAGATCCCGGAGGAGCAGCCGCCCRCCCATCCCATTCCCGCTGCCGCGGAGGCGCCGCATGCCGCATGCCGCCGCATGGCGACGCGCTGCCGCTGTGTCCGCAGGCAAGCAGCTGGTGCACTACACGGCGCAGCCGCTCTTCCTCGTGGACTCGAGCGCCGTGGACGCGGCCGGCGCCGACCTGCCCGTCTTCTTCGAGCTGGGCGAGGGGCCCTACCTGGCCGAGGGCGACGAGTACCCCGAGGAGCCCGCGGGGGCACCGCTGCCGGCGCCCGAGGCGGCCAAGCCGCAGGACCCGGCCGTGTCGTAGG